ACTCACATACCCTACAATCAGCCTACCTATACACCCAAAAACTATGCAGGCTACTTCCACAATCACATGCAAATAACCAACAAGAAACAAGGAAACGCTATTCTAGTTAAGAGAAATATACCACACAGAGTAATACCCATACGTTCCGATTTTTCCGCGGTAGCAATAGAGATAAGCACAACACAAAAATTCGCTGTCATTTGTCTACATCCCCCCAACGCAAGTTTTCACTGCCGCTGAACTAATGCGCTTGCTAAGACAGGTTAACACAAACTGCATCATAGGAGGGGCCTTCAACGCACGGAGCACAATCTGGGGCGATACCCACTCCAATCAAAGAGGGACAATAGTTGAAGACATGTTACTGGCTTCTAATCTAATTTGTCTAAATGACGGCACCGCCACGCATTTCTCAACCCGCAACACCTTCACCTGCATCGACCTCACCTTCTGTTCTGCTGCCCTAGCACCGCAATACACCTGGCGTGTAGTAGACTCCTTGCATGGAAGTGATCACTTCCCGATCCTAACAAGTATCATTTCTTACGGAAATCATATTCAGTATAAGCACATCAGCAAATTCAAGACAGAAGCCGCGGACTGGGACAATTTTACTGCCCGGTGCCTCCACCTTTGCCGAAACACGCCTTCGACAAACAACATTCACCAAGAAGCAGCAAAAATTCTTCACCGCCGCCCACTTTACTATCCCGCAAACCACACGGTGCTATTACAAAAAAAGGATCCCCTGGTGGAATGCCAATTTATCCATCCTTCGTCTGCAGAAACAGCGTGAATGGCAGAATTACAAACGTTCCCGCTCTGAACACAATCTTTTAGCATATAAAAGAGCTAATGCCCTTTTCAAGAGAGCTGTAAAAAACGGCTAAAAAACAAAGCTTTGAAAAGATCACATCGAAAATCTGTCCCACATCAAACCCAAGTGACGTTTGGAGTGACATTAAGAAGCTCACTGGCTTTCAAAAGCAATCTTATCTATCCAGCATTAACTCTCCTAACGGAACGATAACCACACCGCTGGGAATTGCCAACTATTTCGCTTCTTCCTTTTCGTCTGCTTCCTCCGATTCAAACTTTACAGATACTTTCCGCCAACTCAAAGCCCAATACCTGCAAGAAGATCCTTTGACAAATCAACAGCTCTCGACACACGCCAAGCAAATCGAAGCAAAAATAAACTTAGCTGAACTCCAATTCGCACTCTCATCGGTTAAAGGTAAAACACCAGGGCTTGACAAGGTGTCATACCCCATCATCCAAAAACTACCCATCGAAGTAAAACAGCGATTGCTTAACCTTTACAACCTTATTCTCGACCAAGGACACTACCCACAACATTGGAAAACTGCGTGCATAGTTCCCATATTAAAACCAAACAAGCCCGCTGGAGACGCAAACAATTATAGACCCATCTCTCTCATCCCTTGCTTTGGAAAAGTAATGGAAAAAATCGTAGCCTCTAGACTTATGTGGTATGCGAACATCACGAAACGTATAAGTCCCAATCAAGTAGCTTATAGAAAAGGTTGCTGTACTATAGACGCATTAGTTCATCTCGACCACCTAATTTCAGAAGCCCTCTCGTCCAAAAACCACTTTTCGGTACTTTCCGCCAATTTTCAAAAAGCGTTTGACCGTATCGGCGCCCACATTATCTTAAGGCAACTAGAGAAATGGAAAATCGGCCCAAAAATCAAGAATTTTATTAAAAGCTTTCTCAAAAACAGGAAATGTGTGGTAAAAGTAAACGGGTATCTTTCCTCTACGTATCCACTTGATAATGGTACCCCACAGGGATCACCACTATCTGCTTGCCTATTCATAATAGCATTCGACGAGATCACTCAACTTACAAAAAACATAAGTAGCTTAGAATGTCAACTCTATGCCGACGACGTGGTTTTTTACACGCATAACTCTGACATCACGTTTGTAGAGGAAACTTTTGATAGCATACTTTCGAAAATAAATTCATGGTCTCTGGTCTCTGGCACCACAATTGCTACTGGAAAAACCAAAATTTTACATATTTGCCGGAAACAGAATTGTCCCGGCGTTTCCAATGATACTATAAGTTCGGTACAAGAACTCAAAGTTCTTGGACTGATTTTAGACTCCAAATACAACTTCAAGCCACACTGTACTCAACTAAGAGAGCGCATTTCAAATAGTCTAAACATAATCAAATACCTTGCATCAAAGAAAAGCTTCGTACACCCTACCACGCTAATAAACATTACAAAAGCGCTAATCCTATCCAAAATTGATTACGCCCTTCCTATTTACGGTAAAAGCCCAAAAGCTACACTCAACAAGCTGTCAGCACCGTACCACGCCGCAATGCGCAGGAGTATCAGAGCCTTCCCTACAACCCCATTGAAAAACTTGTACGCTGAAACAGGCTTACCAACAATTTCAGACAGAACAACCGACACTACACGCCGACTCCTACCAAAACTGCTGTACACCTCTAACTCCATTCTTTCCGAAAATGTCCAAAAAATGTTAACAAGAAAACGGCAGCCCAGGTGCAAATCGGCAATGCTAAAATCTTTAGAATTTGCAAAGGATCTTCAGATACCCATCAATAAAAAGCCTCAAGCTATAGAAGCACACCCGCATTGGTTGATAAACAACGCCAAGTCAATCATCAAAGCTCTGCTTCTTCCCAAAGCAAGTACTCCAAAGGAGAAGTATACAAATCTCTTCGCTGCGGAAGAAGAGAAATATCAAGACCTTGGTTGGAAATTCGTATACACTGACGGGTCCAAGACTGAAAACAACACCTCCTTTGCAGTAGTATCACATTGCGGGAACATAATCAAACACGGTATACTTCATTCTATTTGCTCGGTGTTCACGGCGGAAACCACCGCTGTACTCGAAGCAGTCATCTATGCCAAGATGAATAAAGGCAAATTCGTCATTTGTACAGACAGTCAATCGTGCATCAACGCCGTCGAATCACCATCCAACACTCAAAACGCAATAGTTAACATCCGCAACATACTACTACACTGCCCTAACAAAATAAGACTTATGTGGATCCCCGAGCTTGTTGGAATTTCGGGAAATGAACACGCTGATGCCGCAGCCAAGAACATCGCCATCACTCCCTCACTTATGTATGACTCCGTATCTAAGCAAGACATTCGAGCTGAAGCTACCAGGTTAAGACTGAAGTCACTAATCGACGATTGGGGAATGTACGTCCATCACTACTCAGCAATCAACCCATGCAGAAAGATGATGGTCTACGATCCAAATATACCACTACGTGCGTTAAGACCCTTCACCCGCCTGCGTCTTGGGCATACAATTGTTACCCACTCCTATTTACTACAACGAAGCCCCATCGAAAATTGCCCATTCTGCGAGGAAGCATCTTCGCTAACACATATTTTACGATGTCCAACAATCACTACGCCCCGACAAGCCATCCTGAACTCTGCCGACCCCATCGAGTTACTCAAAAACCCAACCTATAGAAATGTACAACTAATATATAATTTTCTCAAAGAGGTAGACCTGCTCAGACGAATATAACACATAATAGTATAAAGCAATATGCAAAGACACATATAATCTCATTCGAATAAGATGCAAAGGACAGCTGAGGGCCTTCGTCGCCAGTGCTGCGAATCGTAATGTATTTGTAGAATATTTATTTATTGTACAAATATAGTAAAAAAACAAAAAAAAAAAAATAACAAGTAAGAAAGCCTAAGTTCGGGCAGAGCCGAACATTAAATACCCGGCGCACGTATTAAATATATGTTTTTCGCCTTACCGAAAGCTACGGCTATATGGTAAGCCAGGGCGTATCAATTTTGAGTAAATTAGAGTCCTTAGATTTCGAAATTTTGAAGTTTCAAGCAGTTCTGAAATTTACCGTTATATGAGAAGCGGCCGTTATTTTAGTCCGATTTCAATAATTTTCAACGGTTTGCTTATATGTGGCAAGCACAATAACCACACCGAGTTTGGTACAAATTGGTAGAACGGTTACTGAGATACATATATGTGATCATAAGTGGGCGGTGCCACGCCCATTTTCCAAAAATTTATCACAAGCGTATTTCTTGGTAAAGAATTGTTGCAAGCATCAATTTTGAATAAATTAGCTTCAATATTTACTGATTTATCGAAGATTTTGTATTTCTCTAAATTACCGTTATATGGGATGTGGGCGTGGTTATCGTCCGATTTTAAAAATTTTAGGCGATTTTGTATGCTGTACGAAGGCCGACAACTGTGCCAAGTTTGGTAGAAATTGGTACAGCGGTTACCAAGATATAGACATGTAACCATAAGTGGGCGTGGCTACGCCCATTTTCCAAAAATGTATAATATTATTATTTTTTGTCAAAAAATTATTGTAAATACCAATTTTGAGTGATTTATCTTCAGTAGTTACTAAAATATCGCAGTTTTCGTATTTCTGGAAATTACCGTTATATGGGAAGTGGGCGTGGTTACAGTCCGATTTCGCCCATTTTCAATAGCAACCTACCTTGGATTAAGGGAAACCTACATACCAAATTTCGTTGAGATATCTCAATTTTTGCTCGAGTTATCGTGTACACGGACAGACGGACAGACGGACAGACGGACAGACGGACAGACGGACAGACGGACGGACAGACAGACATGGCTTAATCGATTTCTTTTTTTATCCTGATCATTTATGTATACATTTGTCTATATCTATCTCGATTCGTTTTGGCTGTTACAAACAACCGTTATGTGAACAAAATTAATATACCCTTGTGCACAAGTGCGCTCGGGTATAAAAATTATGTGACCTTTGACCTTGAATACATTTTTTTGCAAACGTGAGAGATTTCTTTTATAATGGTATTTGCAACACTCGTACCAATTTTCTGCTTTATGCGAATTATCATAACCTTGAATGTTTAACTTGACCGAGCTATTTTACTTGTAAACTATTTATCGAACTATTTTTTTCTGTCCTCTAGACTGTGGAGTTGAGCTTTGATTTCCCTTTCTATGGCCATCCTGTGCGGAATGTTACAGTGGCAACAGGTGGTTTCCTTTACACAGGTGATTACGTACACTCCTGGTTAGCAGCAACACAATACATTGCACCATTAATGGCTAACTTCGATACCAGCTTATCAGACGAATCCTTCGTACGAATCAAAGATAATGGTAAAATTTGATATGACAATCTGCCGCCAATATTTTTAAATTTCCTTTTCTTTTAGGCACTGCATTCACTGTAATTTGGGAAAAGGTGTCTTTGCAAGATAAACAAGATGTTGGAAAATTTACGTTTAGTGCCACGTTACATAAGAACGGCAATATTGTTTTCATCTACTACTATGTTCCCATCGATATCAATGCCATTCAAGATGATAAGCATCCCGTTAAAGTCGGCCTATCTGATGCGTACATAATTGACAAAACGGTTTTCTGTAAGTTAGATTACATCGAATTTTTGTATCACAACGCTGCTTACAGGGAAAATTAAATTGGAATGCGACCTAACACAACTCGTGAGTGAAGTCAACTAATAAAAAGTCCTAATCCAGAATTTTAAAATGTATCCTAATTCTGCAAACTTAACTTCAACGTTTAATGTAAAACACACACTAATAATTTAAATGTAATTTTGAAACATAAAATGAGTATTTTGTGATAAAACACTAGGCAGACCGAAATTTTGAACTACTTAGAAAGATCAAGTGCGGTCAAATGACGTACTAAGAGGTTTAATGTTTTTTTTTTGTGTGAATTATATTTTTGTTGAATTCATTGTTAAATTAAAATAATATAAAATGTAACGTTACATACATTAACGTAAAAAAAAGTCGGATTATTAAAGGTCATGAAACGTTAGCGATGCTAATGCAATAGTTCTGGTAATATGTTCTATCAAAAATGTGATTGCGATCATTTGACCGCTTTGATATTTCTAGTGTTAAAGCGAAAATGTTCTTTAAAACAAAAACAACTTGTGTTATGTGGCATTCCAAACGCCTTTTTGAAGCGAAATTTCTTTAATCATGGTAGTTATTTAAAGTAGATCGGGGTCATCGACATAGTTTATAAAGTTTTTTTTATAAATAAAAATTCACATTCCATTTACAGATACGCGCAGGAAAACCATTTACGAGTATCATCGCATAAACTTATCTAATACTGGCATATCGAATGCAACAATAATTTATTTGCAAGCTTTACCTACCTGCCTTGATTACAAAGATTGCGCGGCTTGTAGCAACCATAAGACTTCATTTGATGTAAGTTTCAAGTGTTTCACATCTGCCGCAAATGCACGAAAAATATGTAAAGACAACATGTGAAAGTAAATATTTAATAACCAAATTGATATTTATTGCAGTGTACGTGGTGCCCAACTTTAAACAGATGCTCGACTGGCACAGATCGCAAAAAACAAGAATGGCAACAGAAAGGTAGAAAATTGAGGCAACTTTAGCATATACATAACTTAAAATAAATCGTTTTCTATCTTTTAATAACGAATAAAATAAATAGGATGTGATCGTACACAAATAATGGATGCGTCTGCTTGCCCTCCCCTTGGACAGAGAGGTAACAATGCGAGTCAAGAAAGCAGCAATAGCAGCACCAGCGGCAGTACCAATACTACTCCCACAAATGTGCCTAGCGCCAACAACGAAAATGACACCCAGAATATAACTGAAAAGAGTGCGAATGCAAATGAGACGAACAGTGCTAGTATTACGCCGGTGCATAATGACACCAATGTGGCGAAAGTAGTGAATGAACCTTTAGAAGCACATGCTGAGTCGAAAAGCATGGGGCTTGCTCTTGGCTTCCTCGTGCCCATATGTCTAGTGCTAACTATGGTATTGTGGGTGTTTTATGCCTACAGAAATCCACATACTAAAAGCGGACAACTTTTAATTCAGGTAAGTAGAATGAAAAACCTTTGGTATGTTTATTGAAATATGAAAGTCTTCATGATTCAATAATGAAAGATTTTGTAAGAAAAACTTCCTCTCACTCTAATTTCATCAATGACACTCCCACCCTTCTCCCAAAAGCAAAAACAGTGATATTTCTTTTCCAAAATTCTTGGACAGTTTTAAGAACATTTTTAAACTTTTGTTAGTGAAATTTTTACTTTTTAAATTTAGGAAATGTTTGTACTTCATTCGCTGGCGGCAAAAAGAAAAAATGGGTGAGAATCTTTGGACTACAGAAATTCAATATAGGCTAAAGTGACGAAATTCTCTTAAATGCCGAAATGTATTTGTTGGCATTTGTGGAGACCTATTGATTCTTCCAAGTCGCTGTAAAGTAAAGCGCGCAATGGTTCTGGTAAATGAGTCAACGAAGGTTTTTATGCATTGACGCAATATGATATTGGCAAACCGTATCCATGGGCTCGGTTTAGTCACTGGCGCGATGTTGTAAATGCTCACTTACGGAACTTGTCATTTGTAGATCGCGTGCCTGTTGCAATCGTTCAGTAGGTGCATGCCATTTTCGATCTTCCTGAGTTCGACCAACACGAATCGCCAATCGCGACTGTGTTAGCCAATGTTTGATTTTCTGATCGGCGGTATAACGTCTCCCGAACACTAAGGGCCAGTTTGCCAGTACACGGCTGTGGTTTAAATTTAGATTAACCGCTCAAGCTGGTCAAAACAAGCGCAGTTTACATGATCTAAGCTTAAACTTGCACTGAAAAACTACAACATCAAAGAATTCCGCATTAGAAGCAATCGAGCCATAACCGCGAAAGAAAAGTAAGAGCAAGATGTTTTTATCTGACGTCTTTTTTACCAAAATTACATAATTTTCCCACAAACAAACAATTTATTTATTTATTTATTTATTTATTTATTTATTCAATAGTAATCTAGCTCAATAAAGTTGCTTACAGACTACATGGAGATAAAATACATCATACAATAAATCTAGCTTCATTTAACAATAGTTTGAAAGCGGGCTTAGACATAGAAAAATCTATGGCTAAAGAATTTGAGAGAACATTGAATTCCTTCAAAGCTCTAAAGATTGGAGCATTAGAAGCATAGAGAGTACGGACACGTTCAGTATAAAAAATATCTGAATTACGAAGGGTTCTGCTAGGAATATGGAAGCAAATGCATTCGAGTAAATACGGAGAATCAATCACGCCATTAATTATGTCAAAGACAAAGGTGAGCGAGAGAATTGTTCTCCTGCATTGAAGAGATTTCAAATTTATTAGCGCACATCTAGCTCTATATGGCGGAATTGGCTCGTCGAAATTCAATGATCGGAGCGCAAAGCGTAAAAACGTTTTTTGAACCCGCTCGAGCCTATTAATGTGGCACTCATAATAAGGTCTCCAAATAAAGCAAGCATATTCCAGCTTGGAACGTACAAGCGACGTGAACAACAGCTTTAACGTGTAGGGATCCGTGAAATCAGAGCTAAAACGGCGAATAAAAGCAAGCACTGAGTACGATTTGGCAATGGTGTAATTTAAGTGACTATGAAATAAAAATTTCGAGTCAAAGACTACACCTAAGTCAGTTAACTCATTACGAGTCGATAGTCGAGTACCATCAATATAGTATGAAGTAGGGGTTATACAATGAAGTTTGGAGAATGATAGGTGGAAACATTTGCTTATATTAAGCTGTAAGCCGTTGGTACGGCACCAAGCTGAGACATTATCCAAGTCAAACTGAATCTTGACGGAATCAGAGGAGTTTGCAATGGTGGAGAAGATCTTCAAATCATCAGCATATAAAAGAAATTTGGAATGCATAAAACACGACGATATGTCATTGATAAAAATGACAAAAAGCAAAGGGCCTAAAATGCTACCTTGTGGAACTCCAGAAGAAGCAATAAATGAGTTTGATAGCGCGTTGTCAACAACGACTACACATTTGCGATGATGCAGGTAGGATTTTAACCAACATAAAAATGTTGAGTGAAAACCTAAACTTGCTAATTTGGAAATCAAAAGTGAATGATCTACTCTATCGAAAGCTTTTGTGAAGTCGGCATATATAGTATCGACTTGAAGACGGTTGCTAAAAGCCGACATGCAATACTCAGAAAAAGTTGCTAAGTTAGTTACAGTAGATCTGCCGGACATAAAACCGTGCTGGTTATTGGAGATGAAATGCTTAACTGTAAAATATAACTTCTGCTTTACTATATATTCAAATAGCTTTGATACAGTTGATAACTTGGCAATGGGCCTGTAGTTGGCAACATCGTTTTTGTTACCACTTTTAAAAAGAGGGCTGATGAAGGTTTCCTTCCAGGCATCGATAAACTCGCCACACTCTAGTGATTTATTGAAAATTATTAAAAGTGGAGCCGCAAAAGCCAAACAGTTTTTAAGAAGTAAAGACGACAGGCCGTCAACATCAGTCTGCGAAGATGTTTTGATGTTCAAAATGCCCTCAACTACATCATCAAGAGATAAAGAGAGCTCTCCAAAATTAATAGGAGAATCTACAGTTGAAAAGCAACTCCTACAAGTTTCTGACTGTGTTACAAAATTTGCGCGGAAAAAATTAGCAAAAAGGTTGGCTGCCTCAGGTGGTGATGAAGCATGTGCCCCATTAAAAAAAACTTCTGACGGAATACTAGAGCAGGTTTTTTTCGAATTGACATAGTTCCAAAAAGATTTTGGATTTACTTTAATATCTGATTCGAACTTACGAACGTATCTCCTCTGAAGATTTTTACCAAGCTGTTTGAACTCTCTAGAATAGTGAAGGTATTTGTCTCTATAAGCAGATGCTTTAGTGGATTTAAATTTTTTGTAGTACTTATTCCTCAAATTCTTTAGCTTCTTAAGTTCCTCTGTATACCAAGGAATCCTATAACATTTCTTTTTTCTTAGCGGTATATTATTCAAACAAATTTCATTAACTTTATTTTTAAAAACAGAATAAGAGTCAGCAACGTGAACTCTAGAAAGTAATGCATCCCAGTCTACATAAGAAATTTCTTGATTGACAACATCAAAATTGCAACGATTAAAACTGAAACTAGGAGCTTGATTATCCGTACAAATACTCTCATAGTTATAGAATTGAAGATCAAGAATAAGTGGAACGTGATGTAAACCGGGACACGAAACCGGATCAAGACACTTATTTAAAACAAAATTCATATTGTCGTTAATAAAAATTAGATCTAAAGTTCTAGCTAACTTATTAGAGAAGCTATTTATCTGAGCAAAATTAACGCTTAACAAATTATCAATAACATATGATTCCGAGAAACTGTTCACATTTTTTGGAAGTAAAGTGTCACCTATAAATGACCATTCCACATTCCGTAAATTAAAATCTCCGAGAATACAGAAATTAACACCATCGTGACTGCGAGCTATATCGACTATGTTGTCCACATGCGCTTTATAAAGTGAGTCCGCGCTAGACGGAGGAATGTATGAAGCGCAGATAAGTAATTTGGAGATGCCTTGTATCGAGACACAGATTTGGTCTAAAAGGGAATCCGTATTGCTCAGACTCACAAACGATGAGCGAAACCGGCGGTGAACTGCAATGAGAACTCCTCCTCCTCTCGAGAGACCAGTTTTAGAATAGTCACGATCCTTGCGATATACAGTATACAAGTTGGAGTCAAAGAATTCACCGTCATTAAATTCCGAGGTCAACCATGTTTCAATAAGGACAAAGATATCATAATCCGTATGCGAGCTCATATTCAAAAGTGCGTTTGATTTTGTTCGCAGGCCGGAAACATTTTGAAAATAGATCTTGAGATGCTTCAAATGAAAATTTGCTGGAGCAAGAGCATCTAGGGATTTAGTTCTGGTGCATCGCCCTTTGGAAAAAACCGAAATGGTCGAATCTTAACGTTCGCAGGCCAGATATCAGCATTCAACAATTTATCATAGAAACACTCAGAAACTCCTAATTTAAAATTAACTTTTCTCAATTCATCAAGATTAGCATCCTTTTTTATAAGCAAGTAGCAGTTCAGAAATTTGGCATCAATATCAGCATGTTTGGATACGTAACTGATGATGTTCGCTGCTGTGACATTAGTAGAAAATGAGGCCACATGGAGCCACTTCTGTTGAGAAATAACACTTAATTCCTGGTTATTATTAGAACCAATAATTAAAGGCTTCGTAAGCTTTGGACGACGGCTATTAGACACCATTTTCCATTCATTAGGATGCTGCGTAGAAGCAGGTGCTGGATTAACAGTGTTCGTATTCATCGGAACAGACTGTGTGGGAGTAGTACTAGTACCAAGTGAAGGCGTTGTCTTGGTAGAGCCATTACATAAATTAGGAGAAGCAGCTTGCTGGGTACATGACAAAAGAGAGGATGATGGCCCAAGCGTTGACACAGAAGCAGATGACAAAGCAATAGTTGAATTAATGAGAGCAGCACTATATGTAGGTGCTGATCGCATAACATCATGAGTAGCAGCAGCAGCCGACGGCTGAACCATGGATGTATTAGTGAGAGTAGCACTGCTGGTGACAGTTGATTGCGAAGCGTCACAGACAGGAACGAATGGAGAGGCAGCAGACGACGAAAAATTTTGTTCAGCAACGCAAGTGCGGCCAGCAGCAGCGATGTCAGTTTCACCAACACCTTTTGGTGATTTGTTAACACAGCTAAGCTTATCAAAAGCAGTTGTCACACAGGAGCGTAGGTCATTCAACTCAGACTTAAGAGAAGCAATCACATCATCCCGCGCATGCAGCGTGCGCTGCATAGAAATAAGATCAGAGTGCATGCTATCTATTTTGTGTGCTAGGTTTTGATTTTCCTCACGCTGAGCAGCGACAGAATTCAGCATACGTACATTGTCGGAACGAAGAGAGACGATAATCTTGTACAGAGAACTCAACGTTATTTGTTGCTGCTGATTTTTAGCTTCACTTTGATTGTTGGCAGATTGTTTTTGCGAATTTGTTGACTTCGAGTTAGCACCTTTGAGCGAGTCGGAATCTTTCGCAATTTGAAGAAACGGAGCAGATTTTTCATTCGATTTTGGTACTTGACCAGCAATTGCATTCTTGTTGCACTGAGAAACAAAATTGTTGGGAGAATTAAACGATTCGCCCGTGCAAGCAACGACGACACTATCATTTAAAACCGTGATAGGAGGCGGCGTACAAAGGGATTTGCGGCGATCAACAGCGCATTCTTTGCAGTGGAAAGGCTTGTCTGTATTACGCAGAAACTCAGCGTCGGCTGGTAGAATATTTACACAAGACAGATGAAAAAAATCATTGCAATTAACACATTGAATTTTATGCTGCTGCGATCGCTCGACTTTTTGCCCACATAGACACGGCATTTTTTTAATTAGAACTAATAGATTTGATAAGAGTCACTATCTCACGAACTTCAAATCACAAAGTTTACAAAGCCATAGGCATAAAAAAGTAAACAGCTTAACAGTTTTAGCACACAGAGAGCGATCAAGAACACGTCCGCACGTAACGAAAGTGAATTTACTTCATATCCATCAACCGTAAATGGTACCGCAAAGAATTTACAAGGCAAAAAAACAACAGAAAAACAGTTCGAAGTGGACCATCCATTCTCAAGTTATACGCGGTCTGACGTACGCAACTTTGGTATATACATACAAATGTACCCAGAAGATAATTTAGGTAGGCCTTCTTGGGTAGGCCTCTTAGAATGGCTTTACTTAAGAAGGCATACCTAAATTATCTTCTGGGAAATTATCTACTGGGTACATACAAATATTTATTTTTTAAAACAATCAGATCCATTACATCGAATACAACGATGTAAATAAGCTAACCGGAACGACCCAGATTTATATCTGGCCAAGGACTGTCACTCCAGCAACACTCCCCAAAAAGTCTTTGGGGAATTTGTATGCTGCTACAACAACAACATGTAAAAAGCTGGTTTCAATTAAATAATTAAAGATAATACTTCCATGCCCTATTATGAATACTTCGCTACTTTTTGAAGGTGATTAAATTCTTCCCGCTGCCTCCACAAAACATCCCTGTGGGTGGGAGTGTAGAAAAAATGCTACTTACAAAACCTTTAATAATTGAATCATGGAAACTCTTAGGGCGTGTTCACACTGAACGAAGCGAAGCGCAGCTTTTCTCATGGACTCGGCTGCAAAGATCCCGCAAAACTTACCAGCAAACATATTTGCTCAATTTTATTCAAAAAATTAGTTGTAGAATTCGTTTTTATTTGAATATTTTGCTATTTTGTTTTCAGCAGCGTCATGAAGCTTAAAAATTCAATGAAAATTCAAAATAAAAACTGCTTTGCTTTCAGCTCCAAAACGCTAATGAAAAAGCTTACTGTATGAACACTTTCATACAGCTACAGCAAATTGAAAGCTTCACTTTGCTCGGCTCGGCTCCCCTTTCTGTGTGAACGTACCCTTAATTGTTGGCCCAAATAAAATAATGCTACATAAACTAACTATTTTAATATACATATAAATATTGTATGCAATTTCAATGAAATTTTTATTTATCTGTGTCTTTTGGTATATAAAGCTGCAGCTATTAAGCTTTTATTTACTAATTCTTTTTGTTTATTATATTTACATGCAGTCGAAGCACTTGCATCAGGTTTGTACAAGCAATAATACACAAAATCTTCATTCATCGCTCACAATTCATTCAATCTAATATTTATTTTAATGGAACTCGGTTTTTAATATACAATGGAATCTCGATAACTCGTAAGCTCGATAAGACGATAATAGCTTGAAGTCATAAGTCTGCAATAACCTGTACAAAATGCACATATAGTGGAATCTTAACTCGTAAACTCCTTAAGTCAAATACAGGGACTTAAAAGAACTTATCTAAGTTTTATAGTGTGTACGTCACGCTATGGCGCCTCTGCCGCACAAACGTTGCAAAATTAAAAAATTCATGAAAGCGTTAGATAAAGCTAATATGCGTATCGAATAGAGAATTTACTTATCTAAATTAAAAAATTTAAATTTTTCGGCTGCTGTTTTGCTTTCTATATCAATGAAAGTGAAACAAACTTGGGGGGGAAAACGCGGCTAAACAGGTATAAGACGCGCATTTAATACCTACCATCGGAAGGCCGCTTTCTGTTGTTGGAATTTGTTAATAAACTAGGGCTGATGATACCCGCGTACCCGGGTAATAAACATATATCGGTGCCGGTTAAACAAAAAACATCCGGGTAAGGCGACATAAAGCTTCATGTATAATCATTTTCATGAGGATATATATTTTTTCAGTGAGATATATTTTTTAAATTTTTTTTTAAGTCTGGAATGTAAAGGACTATGTACACTACACTAGGGCTATTACTTTTTGATATTTTTTTTGCAAATATCAAATTTTACATGCCCTAGCCAAAAAGTCCATAAAAAAATATTACGAAACGCAATCTTACTTGCTCGCTGCTGTCAAAACAGTTCCCGCACCAAACGAGTGGAAATTTGGTCTATATTTTTTTAGTTTAATTAAAATATTTCTCCGAAGTTTTAAACAAATGAGACTCACGAAGCGTATTAAAAGCTATCTACGGAAAATAATAACAATACTTTTAACTTAGAAGCACATAAATATTTTACCGTTTACAATAATTCTTGTTATTAATATACGTTTATTGTTTGTATCACAAAAATTCATTATAATGTCAGACAAAAAAAGTAATAAAGCTGTGAAGAAAAATTGCAAAGTCTGGGGCAAAATTTTTACTACAAACTCAACAGTAGTTTTGATATAACCAATAATAATTTAGAATGGCAGTCCGAAACAAGTAGCGATGAAGATGTAATGCGTTCAGTTCCAATATCCGATTACGATCGAGATGACAACTTTGAAATAGACGATATATTCGAAGATGAAGATGAAAAGTCTTTGACAGACGAAAACGCCAGCTGCATCATTGGTTACAAATTTAAATGTGAGCACTTCAAAAGCATATAAAATCTGCAAACAATTGGCTAGATTAGATTAGATTATATTAGATTTAGAGGAGGGAGCAGGTCATCTAGTTACGGCGACCGAAACCATCTATCATCATAAGAAACCTCGCGAGGTCCTTTGGCTGAACGCCATTTAGGTCGTGTGCTTCTAGGTACGGTGATCCTAGGAAGCGAAGTCTGGTCCTGGTAGGGGCTTCACAGTGGCACATACTGTGCTCTGCTGTTTCCTGTTCTTCGTTACACAACCTACACTGGTCGGATTTGACATCTCCTATGTTTGACAAGTGTTTTATTACCCTACAGTGACCAGTAAGAAAGCCTGTAACAATTCCTACTTCATTCCTACTGAGGTGAAGGAGTTCTTCATATATACTTCTTGTCCCCTACACTGTCCCCTGAGATGAGCCTTGCTGTAAACGGTAGAGCCTCTTTCTTGATTACAATGTGTAGGCGAGGCAGGTCAAGAAGCACCTCGAAGGCCGCAGTTGGTGTTGTTCTCATCGCACCAGTGATGCCCACGCAGGCCAGTCTCTGTAGTTTGCTGAGCTTGGCCTGTGTGGACTTCACTTCCGCCTTCTTCCACCAGACGGGTGCAGCATAGGTGAGAATGGGTTTGAAGATGGCATCATACATCCACCTCGCCAGTTTAAGTCTGATGCCCCAGTTCCGTCCCATAAGTTTCCGGCAGGTCCAGATAGAGGCCCTGGCCTTTTGAATAGTTTTATCTAGATGCGGATTCCATGAGATAGATATTTGACCTCTTTGGAGAATTGTATCTTTTCACCTTGAAGGAATGGTTCTACTAATTTGTCTCTTTTCCTTTTCCTGGAGAAAATGATTATGCTAGTCTTCTTCGGGTTTACGTTTAACCCATAGTTACTACACCAATTGGCAACTATACTCAGAGCATTCTGTAGGAGGTTGGAGATGGTATCTTCGAACCTACCTCTGATTAGGATGACAATGTCATCCGCATAGCCCTGAACGTCGAAGCCGTTTTCGCTAAGAAGGCAGAGTAGTTCATCTACTACGATGGACCATAGCAGAAGGGAAATCTCTCCCCCCTGCGGGCAACCTTTCGTAGCTAAGAATCTGACCCTTTCCTGTCCTAGAGTGGATGTAATGGTTCTGGATTTAAGGACGTTTGCTATCCAGCGGCATGTGGTTTGATCAACCCCTCTGCGCCGGACGCAATTGTCTATTAGAGTGTTCCGTGTTGTCGAAAGCGCCCTCCACATCCAAGAAACAACCCACCGCCACCTCTTTGTCCTCCAGGGACTTTTCAATTTTCCTTGTTAGATTCTGAAGAGCGTGGATAGCACAGGTTTACAAAAAAAAAAGTGTATGCATATTAAACCAAACCTATATGTCCCTATGTTATTCGACATGCTGAATGCGAATCCGAGGTCCGTTAGCCTCCATCACGTCAGGTTCGTGGTCATTTGAAGGTCAAGTAGGGAAAAATTCATTGAATAAACCTGAAAGTTCAATACAATTCATGGGAATTTGACCTTGGGATGACCTTGGCATGATCTCCAGATCACCTTGAGGAATCAAGGGACCTCCATACTCGGTTTCAGTGACAACAAAAAAAAATTTTTTTTGAATTTTTATTGAATAAATTTTATGTCCTATTTGACCTTCAAATGACCTCGAAGCTGACATTATGGAGGTTAACGGACCTCGGATTCGGGTTCAGCGAATGTAAAACCTTATGTACATGAATGTTCAGGTTTATTCAATGAATTTTTCCCTACTTGACCTTCAACTGACCACGAACCTTACGTAGTGGAGACTAACGGACTTCGGATTCGCATTCAGCGTGTCGAATTAAATAGGGATATATAGGTTTGGTTTAATATGCATAAGCTGTTTTTTTTTGTAAACCTGTGTAGTAGATCTTGGAAGATAGGCATATTGGTGTCTGCAGCGGGTTCCTGGTAAGGAAACTATCCCTGATATGCCTGTCTACGATTATTTCCAATGTTTTTAGTAGAAAGGACGTAAGACTAATGGGTCGGTATGACTTTTGTTGGTCCGCTGGTTTTCCCCACCCACCTTTAGGATGTAGCGGACCGTCACTTCCTGCCATTGTAGTAGAAGGGACCCCCCGCGAAACATGCTCTGAAAAGTGGTATCAGGAAGGGTAGCAAGCGGGGAAGTCCCTTTTGAAGATGGGCTGGGAAAATGCCGTCTGCTCCAGGTGCTTTGAAAGGCGCTGAGGCAGATATAGCCCATCTTATTCTATCCTCGTCGAACGGTCCTTTGGCGATTTTCCAATCCTCTGCGCAGGGGCGTTTTATCCCAGTCTACGTGTGGATTGTTCTGATTGTGCTCAGCGGCAAACAGTCAGGAAAATGCACCTCGGCTAGCAAGTTAAGGGATTCCATGCAGCTGTTCGTGATGGATCCGTCGGGTCTTTTCAGGAGCCCCAACTCATTAGTGTGCGTCTTTGCGAGGACTTTGCGGATTCTTGCGCTTCCCGTAAGGTCCTTGATCCCTATACAGAAAATAGTCCATGAGTTCCCCTTTGCTTATCTAATCTCTTTATTGTACGCGGTGAGGGTAATTTTATATGTTTCCCATTCACCGGTTCGTTTAGCTCTGTTAAAGAGCTTCCTGGTTTTTGCCCTAAGTTTAGCCAACTTGTTATTCCACCATGGAGTCTGTCTGTTGTTAAGCCTAGTGACTTCTGGACAGGGTTTATGGTAGGAATTCATAATGGCTGATGTCCGACCTGAGTAGCTAAGTTCAAGATCGACTAAGTCATTTACCTTACGCTTGCACCTTTTCAGACCGTCCTGCAGAAGTGCATCGTATAGATCCCAGTTTGTGGTTCTTGGTCTTCTGAAGGTAGTAGCAGTAATGTGGTTTCCATTTCAAAACGGATGTGCATATGATCTGATAAAGAAACTTCTCTAGACACTTTCCATGTTCTAACGAAATTACTGATAAAAGGAGTGGATACCCGTATACTGTTCCCAAAAGTGGGGGAGTTACCTACGTTTAGAATTTCTAACCTATTAAGGCTAATAAATTCAAGTAAGTACTCACCTCTTTGATTTATGTTACTGCTGCCGCATATGGTATTGTGGGCATTAGCGTCATATTCCACGATGAGTTGCAGTTTGTGTCTGCCACAATAGTCCACTAGTCCCTATAGTGGCAGAAACTTGAAATCTCTGGAGTCACCGGGGAGGTACGCTGAGCAAATTACTAGCTCTTGTGTGTTTTCTCCGAGAGATAGGCTCACCTTCACTGCGATCTGGTTCTTGTTGGTAAAAACAATTAGCTAAGTCAGGCATAACATTTCAACGCCATCACAAACAGGTATTTACAGAGCGGTAATAAAATCTGTTGAATAAATAGAAGTCGTATACATAAAAACATATTCAAAAAGAAAATTGATGGTACAGAAATACAGGTAATCGTATTGAAAAATGGAACAAAGGAAGTTAAGTTATGTGTTCTTCTCATTTTCGTTGTTGGTGTTTCCGACAGGGTAGGAGTGTGATGTAATGTGGAACGATCTTCCGTCATCCCTTGTCAAATTTGGTTTGGAGGCAAACCGGTTTCGGCGTTGGGCCATGTTCAGTATCACTTTTCGTTCTCGTTATGTGTTTTTTTTCTGGAAAATGGTAAAGCTTTAAATTA